ACTCATTTCAATGTGCAATGCATGTGACTTTCATAAAGATTGTGTCAACTTCTTATCATCTTGATGCTTTCTAAGCAATGAACCAGGGATTCTGACAAGTCTACTGACGACAATCTCAACATGAACTGTAATTCACATTGAAGAAAATAAAGTGTATTTATATCCCATTTTCCTTTGTATATTACGAATGATAGCCACTTCATGCAACAAACTGAAAAAACATGTATAATGTATTATAATTATGTTCACTTTTGGTTTTTATGGTGAGCGAGTATTAACAAAGAAGGCTTTCGGCAACACCAGGTGGTAGCTGGATTGAAAAGGCCGTTGACATTCTTTCGTCAAGAGTTCCTGCTTATTCAATTCAATTCAATGTATTTAGTCATCCAATGTACGTTCAACAAGGACATTTGTGTCGCTCAAACATAAATACAATTCTCAGACACACAAGGGCGTATCCAGGATTTTTAAGGGGAGGTGTTTTTTTGCCCAATTCGTGAGAAAACATTTAGCTGCGATTCAGCCACCCGGTGAAAAAGCGGCGGGGAAGGGGGGGGGGGTATCACACACACAAAACAAAAATTTCTCCTTGGAGGGGGGGGGGGGCAGGGGGCGGGGGTCATAGAAAACACAGATAAAATTTGCGTTTGAAGATCTAAAACACCCCCCTTTTGGAAATGGGGTGGGGGTGTTTGAACACCCCCCTCCCCCTAAATAAGCCCTTGGACATAGTACACACTGAACAGAAATATGATACAAAACATGGGTATATTCTGGTATTGACAAAGTAATGATTATAAATAAAATGGATTTTCGTAATGTTATGGCTTGTTTCGTATCCTTGAGATATATGATTTAGCTGTCTTCATGCATATATTTATATACACATGGAAAATCAGCTTTTAAACGTAATTGCAGTACATCGCATTAGATCTCAAAAAGAAGAAAATAAAGAATGCAATGGGCAAATGTTGACCATGTTATTAGACTATTTAGAGGAAAGGGGGAAAACGGAAAACGGAAAGAAAAGACAAAAACAAACATAATATACACTTACACGAGACAAGTTTTCTTGTCGTTTTAAGGTTTTGTATTACTTAAAACCAAAGTGAAATATTGAGCATAATACGAGTGTATAAAATATCACATAATCCAACATGTAAATTGGGAATAGGCGCCATACATGGCTGACGAAACTATCCGTAAACCACATCCTATAAAGCAACAGATGTTCGTCTACAGCTCCATCTATGACGTAATTATTTAGGATCTGTACGGAGAACTACATACACTATGAATATGACAGACAAAGAAATCGGACAAAATATACAGTTCCTCAGGTAGACAAAGGAACATCCCTTCACTGCTATTATGTAAAAAGGTGAATATGCATGTGACACCTGTTCTACACATTTTTACATAATAGCAGTGAAGGGATGTTCCTTTGTCTACCTGAGGAACTGTATATTTTGTCCGCTTTCTTTGTCAGTCATGTTCATAGTGATATGAGCAAAGAACAATGTATCGCACTGTAATATATTCAGAACTCTATTCTATCCAGAACTGCCAAAGGTTTGCATATCACGCACACAATATAAACCAAAACGGGTTTCATAAGAGAATAAATAAAAGATAACGAGTTAAGCCTTACCTTTGTCTTTCCTGTGATTTACGATGAGATTGGGAAGAGAGACAAGAGCAGTCTGCCTATAGCCTCGCAATGTAAGGATTGCAGAGAATTAAATCAGAAAGGTATGAGACGATATAGATTTATTGTTAGTGACCGTGACATGTGCGGGTTCATCCAGGGGCCTCTGGATGAGACAGCAATATTGGGGCTTTGTATTGCTCAAGCCAACCGTACTATTGCTGTACTCAAAGCAAGCAAGTTTATAACGCGCTTACGGAAATGGTAAACTTGATGTATGAATCATTAGTGTAGTAGGCAGCTGTTTCACTTTGCGTGTGGAAGTGCGTGTGTGTGTTGTGTATATGTGTGTGTGTATGTGAGAGAGAGAGAGAGAGAGAGAGAAAAAAAAAGAGAAGGAGGAGAGAGGGGAGTGATGGGAGAGATGGGGAGGGAGAGCATGAGGGAGAGAGATTTTATGAAGGATACTCACTACAGATTCATATTCAAATATATTTTACATTTGCTTTCGATCTTTAAAAAAAAATCTAAGCCAAATTACAAATTTGGAAACGCTTAAACAATCGCTCACATTTAACCCCCTTTCTTTCGTTTTTTCCCTCCTTGAGCTCCTTCCCTCCCTCTTCCTATGTCTCTCTCTTTCCTTATCCCGTTCAGCCCTCTCTCTCTCTCTCTGTTGCCCCCTTTCTCCCTACCTCTTTATCCACTCTTCTCTATTTAATTGTATCACTCTATCCACCCTCTCTCTCTCTCTCCCTCTCTCTTATTCTCTCATATTTTGTTTTACTGATACCAAGGCCTATACATGTTCAGCATTTCTAAGCATTAAGTTTTAATTATGTTGGCAAAAAAATGATAACTAATTTAACACCTATAACATGGAGCCGGGACCGTATGATATTGAAACATATACATGTATAGTATATATAGCTTTAAACTCAGGCATTACGATTTCATTTCTGTACATAAGAGGAATGTTCATTAGATATGCAACTTGTGGTATTTTAATGTGAATTCATACACATATTCCTTACTTTTTATTTCACTACACATGCATGCATATTTTTAGGAGATACACTTTGCAATATACAATTTAGTAGTAGCATGACCGGCTGATTATCATGATAATGGTAATAGGGATCATTAATCGATTTGTAAAATACCGGCCTGTTCATAATTCTTTGACCTCAGAAGAAAAAGAATTAAATAAGGAGAGGCAAAAGAAGAGCTAAGACAAATTAAAAGTTCGAATAAACGGGAGCGTCTTAAGAGTGATAGATACTTGTAAATGCACAAAGGGGAAAGTGTTTAATGAGAGGTAAAAAAATAAAGATGTTGGAGGAACTTAAAAGGCGATACAAATGTAGAGACAATGAGATAAAGAACAATACTGTGAGAAAATATCTTCTCAAATTTACAGAACTGAAAATATGAATGACATCAATCATCCTGCTTCTCACCATTATCATCTGTAATATAATTCTCGTCACAATTTGATAATTTCATAGGTACCTTAATACGAAATACATTTAGTAGGACCTTATTGTGTAAAGGTACATGTACATATACACAGTTCTTTCGAATCGTGTTCATCAACAATATCATCTACAATATTAATCATACTTATTTACAATTCTCAGATTTGCATGTCAGCGATCGATGTTTCATAAAAATTACCGTTAACATTGCAGGTAAATTAAAAAAAAAAATCATTTAGTTTAACTGCAAATTCAATTACCGTCCATTTAAACACCTTTAAAAAAAAAAAATCTTTATTTATCTTTGAGCACTTCAATTTCGTCTTAGGAATCCGGAATAGTGCAAACATCTAAGCTAATTTAGGAATTGTTCATTCAAGTTAGTCAGTGGTCAGACACTTCAAACACTTGCTCATTCATTTTCTTCAGATTTCAGACAAGAACCTATTACGATCGAGTGACGAATTTAAATGACGCTTTGACAAAATCGGTTGCTGAATGACTAAATCGGTTCAATTATATACGTTGGCAACCGAGGAAGGAGAATTTGATTTTACTTTGAAGAAACTGGATGCAAATGATGAAAATGATTGGAAAAATTTCGGAATTTAATGACCAAAGACGAAATTGACTATGACATATGCAAGATAAGGGAGTTAAGAGACGAAATTAATTGAAATAAAGTGTGACATTCTATATGCTATTTTTATCGATGAAATTTGACGGTGACTACTGAATCTCAAACAGCACGAAAAAGCTGAAAATACAGGTTTTTCTGTTAAATTGAACTGATTTTTATTTTACTGAAATAAACTGGATTTATTAATAGTAATTAATATCATTTTATATTATTTCATGAAATTATCATTTATGATTAAATGATTTTTATTACAATAAGGAAACCCCAGCCACATCTTCAGGTACCTGTACATGGTTGTGGATATGAGCTATCAAATTCGTAAAATACGAAATCAGAAAAGAGTATGTCAGTTTAGACTGGTTACTATACCAACTTACTACATTCTTGCTTGTCTCAATGGATTATCTGACCACCGAAAACATGGGATTGACGCCAGAGTTTTGTCTCTGGGATGGATAATGGGTGATTTGTGGCCGTTTTGGGGTATCGGCGGCAGTCTTGGACGCCATCTTGAAAGTAACAGCTTTCTGAGCCTTCGATTTTGGTCTACTTTTGGAATGTTGTTCCTGAGGTCGAGTGCTGCTGGAAGCTGTTGAGGGGCATTTTGTTGCAATTTTTTGGGGTCAAACCATATCTTGACCTTACTATATGTTTATTTTGCAAATGAGTAATATTTTTTAAAACTGTTTTGTATAAACGTTATAAACGATGCAAATATGTTCATGTTTATTCAGGGCCCCATGGAAGACTACTACTTGTTGGTGAATGGACTACCCTGTCAAAAGATGAGAAATAAATAAATAAATAAATAAATACATAAACAGCATAAATTGAATTCAGAGCCTCTTGAGAGCATATTAAAATGATTAAGCTTTGCATAATTTCAAATGCAAAGTAGGACAATATGAACTGAATGATAATTTTGAACTTAAGTAACATGCAATATTTAGAGATCAAAATTACCTTAAGTCGCCTATAAAGTAGATTTAAAAAAAAAAACAAATAACACTTGATGGTGATTTTTTTTCTTCTTCTATTATTAGTCAGATAGAAAACAAATCTATAATTCTGAGTAAGAAAATTAAAAAAGTTCATCCCTACGTATGTTAATTTGCTAAACTTTTGGGTATTCTTATATCACAATCAGTAGGAGTTACATATATATATATATATTTTAAATTCTTATATTCCTATGTATACGTGTCTGTACATAATAATAATAAAAATAGTTTAAATGAAGATCCTTAAGAGTTTCAATTCACTATTACCGATTTCATTTATTTCGTCAGATCTATATACAGCGGTGTAGCTTTTGCCCATTACCATACTTGTAATAATTACAACAATGAATAGTTTATACATCACAAATCTTTATTTATACATTCGCCTGGCGGCTCAGGCTATCTGTGTACTTTTTCGCCGTCTTTTTTTGGTGCAAAGGTTTCGACAGAAACAAAGATCGAGTCGACCAATCGTCTATTTGAAACTACTAGTTTCGTGTCACCCCGCTCGACAAAAAAGAAAACTATTTTACACTATATTCTATATATTTCCCGACAATGCATGGTTGACGAGGCAATCTACAATGTATTCGCTTTGTATGTAACTACAGCCTTGTTGTTCTGATGATGGGCCCGATGGGCCCGGTTGTTGAGTCAAGCTACATTCAGCATCGAAACGGGGTTGTTGAGTCAAGCTGCACGCGGCATCAGAACGAGGTTGGTCAGTCAAGCTGCATGCAGCGTCGGAACGAGGTGGATAGTTAGGCATGAAGTAAATCTTCTTTCCGATACCTTGCTTGGATATATCTGGAGTTTGTAACCACTTTTTCTTCTTTCCTTCGCCGTCGACTACAGAATGCGTAAAGCCAATAACACGCCTTGTTACCTGTTATGATCAAGTTTATTTTCAAAAAACTCAACAATTAACAGGTAGATAACAAAGGCTTATATACAGTGCGTCCCAGAAAAAATGAAACAGAGAATTATCGATTTTTTATCATAACTTAATCACAATCATCATTAATAAATGACACATATTTGTAAAGCTTAGATCCTCCTCTTTCATTTGAATCAACTCATATGATGCATATTTTATAGGAAACCAACAGGTCATTTTGCGGGCGGTATCTGAATTTCAAAGAGAAAAACACATTTCTGAAAAGTTCAAAATCTGCCCTTTCATATGACTCCTCAATTAGGAAAAAATGAGCCAGGCCAAAGTTCTGTTTGTTTAAAGTAATGCTTGCATTTCCATAATTTGATTAAACAAGTTCGTTTTCACTGGCTACTTGCCGTAAAGTAACAAACAAGGGTTGACAAAAGACTTAACTCCATTTTGTTGACGATCAGCCATGCACATTACTATTGTTATTATTATTATCATTATCATTAATATGTCAAAATGTCGGTTCTGAGGGCGGTAAATAACAAGGGCTAAATGATTGGTTGGGTGTTAGGTGAAATACATGTCCCGTCTCTGTCCGCTCTCAATCAATCATTATTTTGATTAGGATCCATTTCATAACATTTAAAGAATGATAATTGTTGATAATCACCCCGTTCATGATGGTATCAAGATCGTCAATATGTACGTGGGCAATCAACTCCTCACACAAACTCTGTATGAACCAGGAACCTTTCACTTGATCGCGGATCGAAAAATAACCTGCCAATGTGAATACAAAGTGATAAATTGTAACTTAAGCCCACCGCACACACTATACGATCTGATTACGATCCGACGTTTGAAAAAAATTGCAATAGCATTTAATTTGAACATTCAAACTTCTTAAATGTTATCGATATTAATTATACATTACATGCGACTGGTAAGCTGGTCTTTCATTTCAATGATAGAACAGGATGCAATGTCGATGACACATTTTTGACACATCTAACTCAGAATTTATAATGCCGACATATCAGAAATTTTCGATCAAAGCACTACAACAATGAACATTCAAGTTACACAAAATAGTTCAATTCCCTTCTCATAATATTTTTGTAGATATGTTCTTGCATGACATCATTAATTAGCTGTTCGCTCATTTTTAGATTTTAATTCACCTTCGGAAGTGGCGTAGGCCACATATATATCAGCGTTATCTGGAACATCGCCATCAACATCTAGTACATGGTCGGTCGGTCTCCTTGATGAACAAGAATCGATGTCGGGATCATTCACCATCTCGATTGTCGAAAGTCTTCTAGTATCATCAGTGTCAAGAGCACTCTTCGTGCGCATTTCTAGAATCGGGTGTGAAATAAAGAGGGCACATTTTAAAATTCGAAATGTAACATGTCATTCGACTAAGAGTGGAGATAAGTCTAATATCCCCCCCCCCCCTCCCCACACACAAAAAAAAAAGTGGGAAAGATTAAATATCTTGCATTTTTAATAATAATAATATTGGATTCTTATAAAGCGCACGTATCGACCTTGCAACATTACCCGGCTATGCTAGGCTGCCGATTTCGACGCTCATACTACATTCTGAATACTTTGTCATATGGAATTGTACACACTTCACTATTACCCATGAATATATACAGTTTTAAATTTGAAAATTGAAAATTCGAAATGGGATCTCATCCCTTGCAACTTAATAAGGTTATTATATACTGAACATAATTATATGAAAAGGTATATAATATAAATGTAATAATATTGGAATAGCTTCCACAATGAAGATTTAAATTGATTTTATTTTATTTTATTTCTGCATTTTCCCAAATATAATAATTGAATAACAAAGAACATGTACAGGTAAGGTATAATAAATTGCACTGACTCTACAAGAAAGTATGTTGCGAGGAATACATACTCTCACTAGTGTCTCGAAATAGTGCATGATATACATGTTTTATATTTTCGAACCAAACTTCATTAACGAAAATTAAAAAAATAAAATATTAATATCTGTCGCACATTGATCTTGACCGATCGCATACCTATGACGTCATCCATGGTATAGTCCGTTTACGTTTCGGTAACATCATAGCAATGTTATGTTTGGTCACATGATGCTATGTTGACCAATAACTGAACAGGATTTAATTAATTAAAAATATGATACAAAATATACAAAAAATAACAACTTGATTTCAAAAAATTATTTACATATATACATATATTAACGAAAATTAATATTTCTATGACCAATTATTATAAATTTAGAGTATTATCCGAACTATTTGTGGCAAACGTGCAGGAGACCGCAATCATTAGCGATGCTTGACTAGGATGGCGGTCTCAAAAGAAAGATCTTAAAGTGAAGTTTAAAATGAAAATGTGTTTATACAGGCTACGATCTCTGTGTTTGAGTTTGTGAGTGTGTGTTGTGTGACTGTATTATGTTTGCGTGCGTGCGTGTGTGCGTGTCTGCGCGTGTGTGTGTGTGTGTGTAGCGAATGGTGGATGTGCAAGTACCTCTGTGTTGTATGGTGGAGTGGAGTATGATGAGATGTACTGATGTTAAAGTGATGTCGATATGATGAAAAAAAAAATCAAAAAGAAAATGTTTATATATGGGGCTGACAAAATGGAACAGCATGTTAAACAATTCATGAAAAATATTTTCGTATTATGAATTTAATTTTAATAAAGAAGACCAGGTGTGGTAACAAAAATATGTATATATATGTAAAGGAATCGGGGAATGGTGTGTGTTTAAAACAATTTAATTATGATCATCTGATCATACAGCACAACAGCCCACGAGAACAAAAATTAATGACGGTCTCGTGAACCCTAAAAATAGTTGTCAGAAGATCCACCGGACTGACGTTCCCATGGTATGTCTCGTAAAACCTTCAGATGAATGTATAGAAGTCTCACGAGACTGATATTTTAGGTCTTGTGGTCTGTCTCGTAAAACCGGGGAATGGTTTATATTAAAAAAAAATATTCTAATCATATCCTTCAAGTTGTCATACTATCCCAGAGCAATAAGTATCTGGAAATATCTACCAGGCTCAGCAATCAATGCAAAATGAATAGCCCAATTTAAGGAGGCTGCTCTACCCTCCATCAGAATGATGCAGCCACCTGTAGGCTATCACATCATATAAGCGTACTAGCTTGGTTTGTAGTGGCACTGGACTGCGGTGGCGGATCCACGGGGGCCGGGGGCCCGCCCCCCCCCCCCTGGGAAATAAGAAGGAAAAAAAAGAAGGAAAAAAAAGGGGGGGAAAAAGAGGGAAAAAAAAGAAGGGAAAAAAAGAAGGGAAAAAAAGAAGGGAAAAAAAAGGAGGAAAAAAGAGAGAGAGAGAGACAGAAGGAAAAAAAGGAAAAGAGGAGAGAAAGTGAAAGAAAGAAGAGGAAGATGAAAAGAAAAGGGGGAAGAAGTGATCGGGGGGGGGCGAAAGAGCCTCGCCTCCCCCCAATCAAAAAAAAAAGAGAGAAGGAAGGAAATAGAATGAAAGGGGAATCAGTTGCAATTTTTCCGCCAACAAGTTGTGGTTCAGGGTGGGAGTGGGGCAAAATGCCCTTGCCTCCCCCCGCCCCGCTAAAAAAAAGAGAGAAAAAAGGAAGAGAAAAAAAGGAGAGCTAAAAGGGACCGAAAAAAAGGTGAAAAGAAGGGGAAATAGATCATTTGCAGGTAATCCCGCCAACAACGTGTGGAGAAGGGTGGGGACCGAAATGACCTTGCCTCCCCCTCCCCCCCCCCCCCCCCCCCGTCATCAAACCTAAAAGAGAGTAAGGAAGGGAAGGGAAAGGGAAAGAGGAGAGAAAGGGAAAGAAAAAAAGAGAAAGAAGAAAGGTAGGGGAGATCAGTTGCGATTTTTCCGACAACAAGTGTAGATCGGGGGGGGGGGGGCGGGGCACTGGCGTATTGATCGGGAAGGGAGCTCGGGGGAAATAAAATTTAAACATGGTTTATTTCTAATTACATAACGGTGGTTCACACATAATTCTGAAATGACTTAATTTTCCGAGGTTTTTCCTCATTCTTTAGTAAATTATACTTTTGTATGCGTTTGTAAATTAACAGCCAGGCAAGTAATATGCTCCTTGGGCACGCGGAACGGCGGGGATCGGGAGCCTCCAGCTCCCCCCCCCCCCCATTTTTTTTTGGAAAAGCATTTTAAAGAGAAATAGAAAGAAAGGGAGCAATAAAGAAAGAACCAGTGTCACAACAAAATAAGGTATACAAAATTGCTCATCTGACCGTAATTAAACGCCTAAAACCCCCCCTGGACCCCACCAGATGCTAATCTGACGGTAATGTAATGCCTAAAACCCCTGAGCTTCTGGGGGCTCCGCCCGCTGGACATCACGCCAATCAGTGTCCTGCCAGTGTCACAAATAAGGTGTAAAAATATGTTCATCTGACCATAATCAAATGCCTGAAACCCCTGAGATTTAGGGGTTTCCGCACCCTCGACCCCACCAGGAGGCTCTGAGGCGGGCCCCTGAATGCTTATCTGACCGTATTTTGCCTTCAACCCTTGAGTTTCCGGGGGCAGACAAGGTATCAAAAGATGTTCATCTGACCGCAGGCGCGTAGCCAGGGGGCAGTGGGGCGCCCCACCCCCCCCCCCCAAAAAAAAACGCCGGCCAAAAAAAGAGAGGAGAGATAAGGACAGGACGTATGAAGAAAAAGGAGCAGACAAAAAACATTTTTGAAATCAGACAAGGATTAAGAGTCGAAAACGGTACAACGAATCGTCTTCTTTCTCTAATGATTTAATGAAACGTAAAAGCTTCCGCGCTTCGCGCGCGGATGGAGAGGGGAGGGGGGAACTGAATTCAGGCGAGGATTAAGAGTCGAGAACGGTACAACGAATCATCTTCTTTCTCTTATAATTAAATTAAATGTCAAAGCTTCCGCGCTTCGCGCAGGAGGTGGGGTAACTGAATTCAGACAAGTATTAAGAGTCGAGAACGGTACAACGAATTGTTTTCTTTCTCCAATGATTTAAAGAAACGTAATAGCTTCCGAGCTTCGCGCGGGAGGAGGGAGGGGAAAACTGAATTCAGACGAGGATTAAGGGTCGAAAACGGTACAACGAATCGGCTTCTTGCTCTAAAGATTTAATGAAACGTAAAAGCATCCGAGCTTTGCGCGGGAGGGGGGGGGGGTGAATTTAGGCGAGGATTAAGAGTCGAGAACGGTACAACGAATCGTCTTCTTTCTCTAATGATTTAATGAAACGTAAAAGCTTCCGCGCTTCGCGCAGGAGGGGGAAAACTGTATTCAGACGAGCAGGCGCGTACGCAGGGGGGGGGGATGAACCCCCCTTCGGTTTTTTAATGTGTGTATTTTGGAGCAAACCCCACCCCCCTTTTGTGATGTTTTTTTTTTTAATTATGCCAATGGCTGACCTAAAATAGGTGACCTCATCCCCCCCCCACCGGAAAAAATGTCAAATTTTCAAACTTCGAGACCAAAAAAAAACAAAAAAGGTCCTCTTATCCCCCCCCCCCCCCCTGCTTATTCAGCGGCTGGCTGAGTCGTTGCGACTATAATTTGGTACTCCTTGTAGTTACTCGCCTCACGTACCATCCCAGTTTAGCTTCCTGAGTGAGCTGCCAAATGGATTACCCAACCAAGTACCAAGTACCATCAGATAACTTTATACGAGGACTGTAAGTAGCCTCATGTTTAAATGCATTTATCACTTAACATTACTTTCTTAGATTAGCGTGTCCTATAAAACCTATGACTTACGTCCTCGACATGCCTGGATAAAGAAGATTTTTGGTTTTCCGATGAGAGCTGGGCATTGTCTTCCAGAAAACTTAGACTTGATTTCCTGAATTTCCACAACTTCTGAGTCGGTACCATAGATGCCTCGTTTCTCACCATGACTCATTAGAACAAGAACCACCGATGGGTGACAGATGGGTCCTTCTAGATTTATTCTGCTTACAGACTCGTCCAGAAAGCTACGAATTTCCTGCACGGGGAAATTGATGATTTGACATATTGATCGAGTCGAAGAGGAGGTCAATATAATTTTAGTAAGGGTAATATAGCATTTTTATCTCCTGAAAGATAAGCCAGTCAATATTACAGTCATTAGGCGGTGTCAGACAGAGGTCAATAATCTAGAAAATGAATCCCGTTAAAGGTCAGTGTAGGTCAACTTTTAAATTTATGATTGGCAGGCATATGGTTTTAATGTGCTATCAATGGCAATGACAATGACAATTTATTCTTGAGTCACCCAAATTGGGGTATTGGAGAAGTTTACAATCAGTTTGAATTTGTCAATTTAACACTGTAAAATATACAATTCAGATCGAATTAATGTTAATCAATACAAAATAACACTATCGACAATAGTGAGAAAAATATGATGATAAAAATAATAATGATAATAATCCGGCACCACCTTCCGTGGGCGGGGGCATAACGAAATGCGGAAAGATGAATACAAATTTGATGTCAAAGAAAAAGGGGGGAAAAGGGTTAAAGAAAACATACGGTTATCCGATTGTTCAGAGGAATAAGTGTCTAAAATATCTGACGTAAAAAAAGTCTCAATGCTGGCAATAAACTAATGACTGGAGTATCAACCAAACCTATGTAATATACATGTTTATATACCTCATACATAGATTGTAAAACACTAGTTTCAAAGAGCTCTTAGAAACGAACTGTTGTTTATAAGCGATATACATTATTGCATTGTGAAACAGCTTAGGGAGATAATTGTGTTTCTCGATATACAGATGAAATACAACGTTCATATGTTGATCACGATTCATAAAGGGGAAATTTGACGTTTGAAAGATTTGTTGGAAACATCCACAGAACGGTATAGTACGAATGACAGCTTCTTCCAGAGAAGAAGCTGATACTTTTATATTTGAATCATATTTCTGGATCACTTTTGGAACATAATAGTGTATTATTGCAGCAACTTTCAGTGGGCTCTTCAGAGTTTTGGACAGAAAGTCGCGCTTTTCTATGCATGACGACGTTGAGTCGTTGACTTACATTGGCAGACAAATTAGTCATGATGACAGGCTCATAGCCGATTCGTCTGAAGACATGTTGGATATTAATCAAGTCCAGCTCCGATCCAGGACGATCTTTTGCCTCATGGAAACGATCATTATTTATTATGAGTACGAGCCCCTTGAAGACAGATGTATGCAACACGTAATTCTGACGGGTATAAACGAAAATCAAACATTATTATAGCAAATTGCTCTGAAAGAAAGCATTAGAGAACCAGAAATTGTGAACAAAATATTACCGACAATAAGAAACTTTAGAAGTTTTGAAAGTTTTAATCACTATTGAGAGAATTTCTAATTTGCCAAATCGGAAGAGTCACTGTGATGTAATGGCGGACGACTACAAGCAAAAACCTAAAATCTTAAAATGTATTTAAACAATTCATCACTCAGGAGGTTTTTTTTTTTTTTTTTTTACTTAAGAAGACCTATAATAATCTGTTATCCATAATATATTTTATTGAGTAACCCCAAAGGAGAAGGCACTTAGAGAAAAGAAGAAATTAATGAAGAAAAGGGGGAAAATTAATGAACACCCCTAAACCGTATATTTACTTTTTCGGGGTCAAATTGTTCCTGCCTTGGCTCTGCCTTTTCTATATTCCAATCCGTGTATAAGCCATCTACGTCGGGTGCAATGTCAATTAGTGGCTCTGATGAAAGTGGAAATAGATTGTGGAAAGGGATGTTTCTATTTTAGTACAACCGGGCGGCAAAGCGATTCATTTTTTCTTTTGTCATAAAGGTACCGAGTTTGACACACAAGTAGATGATTAATTTAAAACAAAATTCTATATTGAGCTAATTCGTTGGATTCCCAAATTAACAGCGCCCTACCGCGACAACTTTCAACTCGTGCAGCAGAACGCTAGCCTGCGATTTAAATGACCAAAGTGGTCCGAACAAAATATATTCATTCAATGGGATTCAATGTTCTGATATCAGAGTAGATTTGTATATTGAAATTTGATATCATTCAAGACCCACCATCAATAGATTCTGACTGAATATTTGGCCTGATTTTGGACAAATTGATAATACAAATGGCCATTTGGGGCCAAAAATGTACCCAAAGGATCATATTTGTTGTTGATTAAAGTAAATTTGACCACTTTTTTCTAGCATCAGGGTTCCTTTTTACATAGAATGAGCCATCAAATCTTCTTTGCTGATACTAACGATTGGTAAAATTATACCCCTAACCAAAAGGGAACATTATAGTCAATTTTGGCCCAAAAGTGGAGGGAAATATCAAAACGTCGTAAGTATATGGTTAATAAGAGTGATATTTCAGGAATCAGTGCAACATTTTTCCCCGATAAGCTTTTCAAACCAGCCCAAACAAATTATAATTACATTCCTTTATCTTTTAGGATATATAGTAATGCTAATATATTAGACGATTAAGCTACGAAGTTTTAAGAGATGGATTTATATCTAGCTCATTCCCTTTGTACCATCTTCGAAGCCGCCAGGAGAAAATATGCCAGGCATGTGCTAAACTGGATCTCTCTTGTAAATACGTAGACAAAAGATTCCTGCCTAGCTGCAATGTTACGAGCCACTTTCAAAGGGAAATATGCTTTTGTAATGATAATTACTTTTCGCTACCACTCGTCTGGTAATACGAGCAGTACACAGGGCTTACCTTAACAGGAGGCAAGCGAAAGGAAATGGAGCAAACTTTACTGAAATATTAATCAAAATTACTCGACTGGGCATATGTGGGCACTAATCTCACATATAACATCATAATGAACTGTACATGAACATATTAACTTTTTATTTTCGTGAGCCGAAAGTAATCGAAAAAGTGTCAAATTGCAGGTTTAAGGGCTGTATAATAAGATTTTTCACAAATTAAAGCTGCTATCATACAATGTGAGCAAATGTCTTGACACAGCTAGGCTTTGGTATTCATATTTTAACATCTGTTCGATTTTCCCTTGTTCGTTCAAATAAAAAGTGAAATATTAAGGATATTTCTTTGTGAAAAGATCACTACTCAAGCTTTCCAATAATATTGGCGGCTTCGAACCTCGCCCCCAGTCTTTTTATAGTTAGAGGCTTGTTAGAGGCGGTGGTTTACTGCAAGGTCGATAAATCAAGGAGTTTTAAGAGCTGAAGATCCAACTGGCAACAAAATTATTCCTTGCAGCTGCAGTTTCCTATGGTTGCACAATATAATCTACTGGTGTGCTGTTACCTTTGATGGCTAATTTAGCCCCCCCCCCCTCCCTCCTCTATTTTCGCGATCACTTCGCAATGCTTAAATATTTTACGATGCCACTTCATGACTTTTTTTTATAGAGTCTTACTCATCTCTTGATACCAAATTGGCACCCGCCAGGTCAACGGTCCGGGTGTTATGTAAGATTTTGCGATCGTGTGTCACTGAAAATTCGATTAAAAAAAGTGCTATATGTAAAATACAGAGTTTTTAGATGCACATCTTATGTTGCAGTTTTTATACTCATCTTTTCAATATAATATTAGTTCATGGGTATATGATTATGTCAATCGACACAAATAAACTATACACAAGACAAATAAACCATCACTCCAGCATAAAGAAGTAAACATGTCTTTCAAGACTTCATATGAGATCATCACCAAAACAAGTGTTCATGATATAATATGACATCATAATAATGCATTAGTTTGATAAAGGTTTCATCAATTACCTTCATTTTATCAGAGATTGTGTATATATAATTTTAACATGTATATTGTACCATGAACATATTTTGTTTCATAAGAATCACCATAAATTAAGAATAATATAAAAAGTACAAAGAACTACAATTTGTGCATAATTAATTAGCTCTAATTATAGCATATTCGAATCAAGAAAAAATCAAACTATGCAATATTGTAGATCTTATAAAGATCTATCAACATACCAATGTTGGAGTCGAAGGGAGTTTCGGTTGTTGAGATCTTAGGCCTTTTGGCCCCTCCCCCCCCCCCACATTTTTAAAGGTTCTTTTTAGGGTTAAGCCTTGTTCAGATGTGATGCTGTAATCAGCGGCGTTTTAATTCAAATTATGATGTAAGTGTAATATGCTTATTAAACATATTTTGTTGTTGTATCTTTCAGCATAACTCTGAAATACGTGTATGACCTTTGTGGCGCGCAGTTTCACGTACAGAAAAAGCACCGTGGCGGGGATTTTTAGCGGCTTTTTACAGCTGCATATCTATAGAAGCCTTCAATGTATGTTGACTATAGTAACCGTTCATATATTTGTATTGTGAATGTTAATTTTTTTATACATACCTTGTTCGTTTTCAAATACACGGTATGCTGTAACATTGTCTGAAATACAATAGAGAGCGAGAAGGAAAGATAAGAATCATCCACTCATCTACTAACTGGTCCATTGCCCAGATTCTTTTTATGACTAATATAAATTTCACGACAGACTGATGGGATCGGTGGTCTCGGGAAGTTCCGTGCTGTGCCCCCTCTTCTCAGCTTACATCACAGTTTCGAGATCACCTTGGGGCATATTTTAACCATGCCCTCAAAGCAGAAAATATTCATAAACTATTTACCAGACTGTGTCGAATCATGAGGCATGGGAACAGTACAGCATGAACACACTCCGTCACAAGCAATACACGAAGCCGTGATACTAGCCACAAATGCTACACAGCTGCCGATAAGGGACAAGGCGAGGAAGGCCTTCACTTTATCCTAGACCAAAAGAAGAAAGAACATTGTAAGGTCGAGGACGTGGGGAAGGGGCACTTGTAAAGAATTAAAATTTACACAGGATTTCACTTGATAACCCTTTGACAATATTTTCACTCCCGGGAATGCTGGAACGAGCTATTATACCAAAAGGTTATAAGATCTAACGTGAGCTTATATTGTCTGAAAACCAGGATTGCTATTCTCTCCAGGCAACACGTCATTTTCCGAAGGTTCTTAATTCAGAAAAAGAAGGGCTCGTGATTCCAAAGATGAAAATGTTTGTGATCCTGAAAATGAAATTAAAATTGTTATTCCGAAGATTCATAATTCCAATAACAACACAGAACCCGGTATCATATTTTGTGAATTACGACCGTTCGGGATAACGAAGCTTAAATCACTTTCCGGAATTATGAACCTGAATGCATTCTCGAAATTATCAACCTTCGGATAAACAATCCTTCGGAATAACGCAACAAATGATTTGAATCATAAACCCCCTGGAAAATTCATTTTTCAGAATCACAAACCTTTAGAATTATGGACCTTCAGAAAAACGAGTGCCCCCATTTGCCATTTCTCCTCTGTATGGTACACTTCAGGAATTGGAAAGCAGCACAGACAGTAATAAAAATTCGACAGCTCGTTTAAAAATGCTGGCAGTGAAGGGGACGTCAACTACTTTCTGTACCTTCCTGTTGAAACTGACGCCCCGCAGTGCATTAAATGGTTTGAATTCTATAATTACGGATTAATCAAAGTGGAATTATTACCGTACAAGGAGTACCAAGGACATCGATGGTACAAACCGCGTTAGGGACGAAAATCCAAACAATCTGACCAACAGCAATTACGGCACTAATGATAGCCATAGTCAAATATGCTCGTATCTGGAAATGAATAATTGAATTGAATTGAATCAAATATATTTTCTTCTGCAAAGCATACAAAATTAAATTACATTTCGACGAAACAACATATACAAAAACATGACAACATTTTTGAACGTATACGCAATATAATCATAGTAGAAATGTTGATATTAAAACAAAATGTAACTGATAACAAACTATTAACACGTATTCATTAATTACTCTGCAGAAGAAGAACTATTACAATGAGCGCTTGCATGATGGAGTGAAAGCCCGGGGTGGGGTGGATGATTAAAAAAATTTAAAAAATTGACGACGGTGGTGATGATGGTGATGATAATGATGATAAAAATATTATATAGTGATGGATGTTGCTAGAAATCTGGAAATAATATTGAATATTTAATCAGCACTGGGAAAAGATTTACAATGCTCTCTGACAGAAATGCTGTCTTCGTATGGAGTTTAAATTAGTTTAAGGTTATACATGGTTTTATTGAGTCTGGGAGTGCATTACTTAGATCTAGACCATGATGTCTTATTGATTTATGCAGGATGAATGATTTACGATTTATCAAATGAAAATTTTATGAACTCCGAGTAGGGTATATAATGGATAGAGTTATCTAAATGAATAATAAATGAAACATGAAGCAGGTTATTCATGAATTCAAGCATAATGATCAAATTTTGTTGTTCGTTTATGTCATAGAAAGTCAATGTTTTAAATTCATAAAATAATGGAAACCAGCAAATATGCGAGGCGCTTTTCTTTGCAATAAATAGGGTTAAAACTTAAGCTGTTCCCACGAATAAAAAAACCCCAAGGAAATGCAATAAATTTTCAATAATTCATTGAATTTTACTCCGGTCCCCAACGTAAAAAAAAATCCTCAGTAGGACCATGCATTATGGCTCAAGAAATGGGAACACAGAAGTTTTTTTTATGTTGGGGACCGGGGGGGAATTCAATAAATTATTGAAAATTTTGTTGCATTTTCTTTGTGTTTTTTTATTTGTGGGAACTGCCCCCTACCCTATCCCCCGCTGCGTACAGTAATGGTTGAATGACAAAGCGATGGCCTCGCAATTGTGAGGCCCCAGGATAAAAAAACTTGTCGATGTGCTATATTTGTGGGACAGTATTACTGTCATTTATGACTTAAGGGCGTTCCCCTAGTTGATAAGCATAGTAGCATACACATGATTTAGCAGTCACGCAAAACAAACACTGGCAAATTATTATCCAACAAAATCTGAGAATGTATACTATTATCTAGATCTATTAGGAATAAATCATTGTGAAAATAATTTCATGAATTGAGGTAAACAAAAAATATTTCAACTATATGAGCGACAGTGTAGAGTTCTGGTAAAGAAAGAAAGAAATTGAGTTCTCACAGAATCAAACGAAACTTACACTGAATGTTCAAGATTACAAATAAATGTCATGTGCCAAACAATTTTGGAAAAAAAATGTATAGTGGCTGAGTAATGAGCATAGCAAGATAAAGAAATCAAGGTAGTACTAGCCCCGACACCATGTGTGGTGTCCCATATACATCTTTCTGTGTACAGTGATTGTTACTTTACCAAGACTGGGCCAAATTGATTTTGATGACTCAAGAACCTTGTATTATAAACCAATATTTACATGCTATATGATCAAATTTTCTGATCCATTCCACACCTTTTCTTTCACAATGCAATCGCATTACCAGAACTCACCGTTATCTTTAACCCTAAAAGGCCGGGCTATTTGAGTTCTTAGTAAGGCCATGGGGGGGGGGGGGGAGGGGGTATTTAGGGCCTACCCCCCCCCCCCCCCCCTCCTTTAGATCTCGGTCGTGAAAGGGCCGATCTCCGCGAAAATTTGCACGCGTGTCGAGTGAAGTGTATAGAATACTATGATAATTTCATTTTTTTTTGGAAAAACTCGCTTATTTGCATATTTATGGTAATTTATGCAAATAAGGTCATAAATCACATTTTACCTATAAATCATATAATATTCATATTTAAGCATTCCTTTTCACTACATAATATAGTCTTTAGACCATGAGGAATAATAATACGACAAACAATTGGAAGAGACAGCTCATTCCTTATGTTATCCCTTGTTTTTATAATTTCTTACGTATTTCATTGTTTTTTTAACTTATGTATGTTATTGTTTTTGTTGTTTTATTTCATTTCTAACTACAATTCAACTATATTGACTCCCAAAACAACCACCTAAACTTTAAACAAGACCCAATAACCAATGTTTGATCTATTTTTAGGAAAAATTACATTTCCTTATGTTTTGTACACAAATCAAGAAGATGAGCGATTTTCGGGCTGTCATGACAAAAGGTCACGTGACCTTGTAACTGTAGGTCTGATTTTCAAAAAAAATCTTTAAAAAGATGCGCAAGACTCGAAAGAAAAAAGTCAGCGAGCGGCGGGGCGCCATCCATATGCGTTCTCAAACAATCAGAAAAATCGTGGAGGGGGGGGGGCATAACGGCCCCCCGCCCTTATTAGGGTTAATGAAGATATCAATAATACTGTATAAAATAATGGCTCCTTTATAACCCCGTGCCTCGCGCATAGCTATTCCACTGAGTCCTGATGATAATAATAAAAAAGCTTGTTTGTTGTGGATAAACCACGTAAACTTTATCCCAAGCATTATACCAAGTCTGATTTTATGCCACATACTTCTGGTTGTATGATGGTGATGGTTAACATCATTTATATGGCACAAT